GGCGGTGGATTCCAGGCCGGAGCACGAGGCATCGATTGCGAGGATATTACATGGCATCCAACCGAACTTTCAGAGCCGGTTCTCTGCCAAAGATCTCGACGCACTATGTGCTCCGTTCACCGCTCAGGAGCTGCACACGGCTATCAAAGCGATGGCGTCGGGCAAGAATATCAGTCCAGACGGGGTTGTTGTTGAATTTTACAAGCACTTTTGGGATCTGATCGTAACAGACTTCACCAAGATGGTTGCCATTGCAATCACCAATAAAAAACTCTTGTTTGACATGATCTTGGGGTTCATCGTGCTCTCTTTAAAGACGACGATCTCGAGATGTTGAAAAATTGGCGACCCATCACATTATGAAAAATTGCGTATAAGGTACTAGTCATGGCTTTGTAGATTTGACTGCAAAAATTCCTCACTGAAGTAATACAAGACAGTCAATCAGCATTTCTCCTGCATAGATACATATTGAATTCAGTGATGGTCATGCACAAAACGATGGATTGGGCAAAGTCATCAGAGCATCCCTTAGCCATTCTTAAACTGGACTTTCTAAGGCAAAGGACTTAGTGAACTGCGAGTTTCTTTTCCAAGTCATGAGTCGCATGAGACTACCAGTTAGCTTTACTTGCATGGTGAAGATGCTTGTAGCGGATGTGAAAGCGGCGGTGCCTATCAACGGAGCCTGTTCAAGAAGTTTTGCAATATGCCGTGGGGTGACTCTTGGCACCCTATTTGTACATCGTAGTGGCTGAGGCGTTGTCAACAGCGACACGATACGAAGTCCGGCATGGCATTTTGAAGGGCATTCGGCTGCCAAACCACAATGTTCAACAAATTTTGATGCATTACGTAGACAACGCCACCTTTTAACTGTTTGGAGCCCACCGGTACCTTACGGCTGCCTTTGATGTCCTCAACGACCTTGGCAATGCCTCAAGTTTGATCATCAATCATCAAAAGTGTGAGATCTTATGGTACAATAGAAATGACCCTCCTCATTGGCTTCACTCCTTTGGATGCATTGTGGCTCCTTCACAGGAACTCCATAAGCTACTAGGAACTCCATTTGACTAGATTTAGCGGTGCTAAATGTTGATGAGTTTCTACAGGGCAAAATTTTGAAGAAGGTGAAGTAATGGTCTTCATTACATCTTTCCTTAGCAACTATGGCAATGATAGTCAACCAAGTGCTACTATCTACATTGTGGTACTTTTTGAGTATTTAAAGAGGCTTTAGGAAGATTTTACGAGCCATTCGCGCCACACTCAGTAACTTTCTATGCAAGGGTACACAAGAGCGCGCTAGATCGCGTGTAAGATGAAACGATTGCTGCGCAAGCAAAGAAGTCAGGGGACCAGGCATTCTTGATCCAGATGAGGTCTTCATCGCCCTTATGGAAAATGGATTGTGAAGGCAATGCGGGCAACAATGTGCGAGCAACTCCTCTCTACATGTGCTTCTTCGTAACCATATGATATAGGTTATGGCCACATGTGAATCGAGCCTGGCCACCGAGACTTCATTGGATGCTACTGGCCAAGTTTTTTGCACCTATTGGCTCGAGAATGTGGAACCGCCTCGTGCAGGCATGGAGGTTGATGAGCCCGCAGGTGGATGCAATTTCCACCAGAGGTTGATAACACCAACCTCTGGTGGACGATTCGGAGTGGCGTTTGGATTCACAGAGGCGCGTGCGTGTCAAATGGAAGTAGCTGACCTCCGGTTTTTGAGGGATCTGTGACAACCAACCAATTCGATCCCCAAGTCCTGGAAATTGCTTCAACGGGGATTCGAGTTGCAGGACAATGAACGTAGAAAGATAGCGCTTTACCATAATCGTATACCTACGGCATGGCACCAACTGCTCACGATCAACCCACAGCAATCAAAGGAAGAGGAGTGGGTGGGAATTTTACCAGATGGCATCCAGCTACGTCAGGACGCTATCTTCCAAGTTGGACTTTCAACCTTTCTTGAACCCTCAGCCACTTATATTTTCATCCCAGCCTCAATCCAAGTATTTCAGGTTGGCATGCACTTCCAAGTACTTATTGCTCAGTCCGAACACGGTTCCAAGCTCTGACCACTACATGGGTTAGTGCGTAGAGTTTGAGTCATTGCGCTTCCTCCAAGTCAGCGTACCAGGATTGTTCTCATCCTCAAGTATATTGCACCGATTTTCCGCCTCACCTTTGACCCTGGAAGATGGAAATGGCGCCAAGGAGAAGGTTTTTTTGGCTACACCGCAAAAATAAGCCAAAGCTTGGCAAAATTCGAGGCTTTCCTTGAGCCTGTCAATTGTAGTGAAGTGATCGGGCCATGTGCATCCAACGTTCGATCCAAACTGGGAAGAGATATGGAAAAACGATCGCTGACGCAATGAAGCAGGTTTTCTGTGGAGCGTGCTCCACAAAGCCATTGCTGTGAACAAATGGTGTCATAAGAACCATAATGCAACATCGGCTCAATGCGTATATTGCTTTGCAGTTGTTCCAGAATCGCTCAAACATTGCTTCTATGAATGTGAAGTTGCCTCATCTGCGTGAAATTTTTCTTTTTCCATGTTGTACTATGCCGCAGGGATATATACAGGGGCACTGCCGTGGGCCAGATTGGAGTGAGCTCAATGCCTGCTCGGGCAGCCTCTCCCGAATCATCTTTGGCATGTGGCAATCTATGGGCTCTGATGAGAAGTGTAGTAATTTGGTCTCTTTGGATCCGGAGAAATGCCCATGTGTTCTCTGATGATGATGGACCCAGACCCGTCTAGACGGCATCATGTGGGATAGGATTCTTGACATTGCAAGAATGTCTTGGCAGCAAGCTCATCAACCACCACCTCTGAGTTCGAGCTCACGAACGTCGAGGGAAGCAGTTCGACAACTACGGCGGGTATTCTTCTTCGCAAGAGTATGGGGAGCTACAGAGGTGTTCTGTGTGAGAGCCGATGGTAATAACAGGTGGCAGTATCGACCACCCGAACGTGAAAGATTCCGGTAATGTGACTCAACCGCGTCATAGAGTCAGGGGTCTCTTTCGATGTTTACAAGGTAGATTTGTAGGTTTAGGTACTATTAGGTGTAAAAATTCAAAAAGTGCTACTCGCCGGCCTGCTCATGCATGCCTGATTTTGCAATGGAAACTCACCATTTGTCTCAAAAAAGAAGAAGAAAAAGTTGTCTCATTAGTTATGAAACATAAGATGTACATATTGTTCGAACTCGTTCTTCATGTTTTATTCGAAATCTCATTTCATTCCATCAACAACTGTCTGTCACACTACTCTTCACAAGTTCAATTCAAAATCAATCACTTCATACATTGACATCAGTCTGAGACACTTGATTCTAACGATCTACTGGTAACTTGCCCAATCTTCCGTACTTTGCTCATATCAAAGAGCTAGATAGTCATAGACGCAGCCAGTTGTCGTGAAGTTAGCCTTGTTATTTTGCGCGCAATACTTTCATGATTTGATGTGTTGATTATTTTGAACAGGATACAAGCCATCACAAATGTTCATTTTTTCATCTTCACATAACATAGCTGCACCACACGATCATACAGTCGTTAATCTTGAGCTAATTTGAAGCAAGGGCAAATGTTTTGCTGTCAATATTGCTGGTCACAAACATGAAACTGACTGTTGGCTGCAATTTTGTGTGTAAAGATAACTAGCTAATCATCGACGACCTGTAGAAGCACTCCATGACGACATATTTATAACTTTAGCAACGATAACTCTTTTGTCACTTGTGATATGTCTCTCAAACGATAGAAAAGTAGTACTTCTCCAATATCTGCGCTCGTTTCTCATGCATTGCCGCTTGTGCTGGCTGCTCGTCCACGGGCAACTTTTAACAAGGTCGCTGCTCGTCACTTGTTATAAATTGTCACTAATTGAAACAATTACTAACATCACTCGCTTAGATCAATTGGTGATGAATCAGATACAAAAGTAAAATTATTCACAACAAACGTAACACTTAACTTATGAGGTTCATATATAATACACAAGAAACGGAGTTTACTTCTATACAAATATAGACCTCATTATTTCAAATTGTAATTTATGCTAAATTTGTCTCTCACATCTCGAAAATAGTTATAATAAAAAAACTTGAGTTATATGTGTTGAATTCATTGTGTGTTACACTGATGTCTAATTTTGGAATGACTAGAATCTGAGTTATTAAAAAATAATCTCCTGTTGGTGATTAAGTTTCAAATATGCGAAATTCACAATAGAAAATATATCTATGAGATTATTATATGAAAATCAATTTGAATACATCTGGTGAAAAAGAGCTTCGCATCGGGTATATTGACAGGTGGTACATGAACACGTGGAAATGGTTCCATGCAATGTGGATGTCGTACGTGGAAACCAAATTGGTTAATGGGTCCAACAACTGAGGAAAACGAAGCGAGGGTACGTCAGCTGAAGAGAACTCTGCGAGGAGCGAACGGCGACAAGCAACACTCGTCCAACATGAAGAAGAAATTCAAAGCAGATTACGTCAGCACAAACGAGAGATGCCATGCCTGGAAATGTCGCGCGACGCACCGAGCGGAGTTCAAACACCTGACGAGCTTTACGATCCGTGGACAATGTGCCCTGGAATGCTCGTACGGCGATAAAAAGTCCTGCGGGAAACTGGGGCGCTTGACGGCCTTGACCTGTACCGACTGCGGTACAAAAAGCGGGAGCGGGTACGTAAATCAATCCACCAAGTGTCGCAGGATCAGCGGCAGGGCATGGCGCATTCATTACGAGCGTGGCTTTCCAGCACAAATGCCACCATTAGATTCTGAATCTAACGACACACACCAAATTACGTCCTCCAGCCGGACGTGTATCCGAACTCCCCGGGCCTGATTCACCCCCATACCCTGACGCACCTACCTTGCGGTTTGAAAGATGAGCGCGCGAATGTGCACCCGTTCAGACAGGACTATTCGGTCGAGCGAGCTTCGCAGACTGGGAGAGTCCGAGGGAGGGAGGAAGGTGGGGGGCGCGGGGAGGGGGGGAAGGATAGACGCTGCAGGATTGATGGGTCTACCGCCGAGACAGAGTGTGATTCGACGAGGCTTTGTACGATTTGCTGTCCCGCTGTTTGTCTCTGCATTTCGATCAATCCGACATTTATTCGGGGCCGATCTCCCGCTTGTTTTCGGTGTCGACATTTTTTTAGAGGAGGTGTGAAGAGGAAGCATGGCAGAGGCGCGGGGACGGGGAGAGTGTGTGCAGGAGCCCGGGAAGTTCAGTCTGAGGGCTTCTCCTTCTTTGAGGCGGGAGAGCGACTTTTCTTCTGGCCGTCATTGTTTGCTTATTCACTGCAGCCGGGAGAGCTCCAGCAGTGTTTGAATTCTCCTGGACGAGGATCGTTTTCTTTTGGTGCGCGCACTTCTTCTTCTCGGGCGGATGGTCGCAAAATTCCAGTATTTTTGCTCTTGGTGGAGGTCCAGCTTGGGGACGAGATATTTTTATTTTCGGCGCAAGTGGTTTCGGTGCTAGATTTCTTCTGTCAGAAAGGAGATGTATCCGTCTTGTCTGCAATCTTCAGCAAGAGCTTTGTTGGTAGATTCTGGTTTCAGGTCTGAGGAGGGAGCTGAGTCTGAGTAAATTTTGTGCACAAAGGCTTGGGCCACATTGTGATGGGGAAGCGCAAACATGAACGGATGGAAATTTCGCGTAAGGAAAAACATCCACGTCTTGAATGCTGTGATGATCAGGACGAGGAAAAGATATGGAACTTCGTTTGTGATGACACGAACGTGCAGTTGGAGTTCGTTGGCCAAGGGAGAGACTTTGATTCTCTTCATTCAAGCGAAGAGGATGTTGCCCAGTCTACAGTCATCAGTGCAGGGAGAGACATATCTTTGAGCGGGAGCACATCTCCCCAAGAGTTCACTACTCTAACCACCAGGAAAAGAGCTTTCGTGGAAGATTTCGTCCCGAGTTCACGCAAGAAGGTTTCACGATCACCTGTTTTGAATTCTCCCAATGGACGGACTAAGTCAAAATCGCGCGTGAGCAGCGAGGAGCTGCAAAATTCCCCTGATGGAGCTGGAGCAGTTATTACAGAAAGTAATGGAGTATTGCTGGACGGAAGAACATCTAGCTCTGAGGTTGACGGGCCTTTGGCGCCTGCAGCTCTTGAATTCCCTTCAAGCGAGGTATATCTTTTGAAACTCCCTTCTTATCTTCCAACACTCACAGAATGAGGATTAAATTCAATGACCAAATCTGCGATATGACCTAGCCTTAAAAGTTATCATCTGATATGTAATAGACTTTTCTGATGACCATTCCTGCAACCGATGATACTCATCTTCAGTTTCAACACATAGATTTTATTCCAGCATCTCGAAGTCAAATTTCCGTCTCTCTCATATCTGATAAGGTAACGATGGTTGTAACCCACGCCTTCTATTCATGGTCTCTCTTCACGAATTACATTCTGATTTGGAGAAAAGGTATAGCACTTTTCTTTCCTATTTCTTTTGAAGTCTATCTCCCTTTTCAGCAACCCCGGGTTGTTCTGATTGTCGCTTAATAAATTGCAGTCTTTGTATTGATGGTTCTCAGCTCTTGATTTGCGATCGTGATCAAAGTTAGGAACTTCTGTCTGAGAGAATTTTCTGAACTTTCAGAAGATGAGATAGCATGTCCTGGTGAGCAGTCAGCCTTTTCTCCATTCTAGCACCATGGAATTAAGCTGGCCACGGACAAATTCGCTAGAAATTGCTGTTAAATTGACCGTTTGATTTGAGCAAATTAAAAAAATTTTGTCGGTTAAAGATGGCTTTGAAACTGCTACATTTCAACGAAGCTTTTATCTGCTCGGAACTACGTAAATATTGCAAGAAGTGTGGAAAGCCCCCATCAAGTCACGCACGGATGAAACCAAACGGCAAGATGTAGCTAAGCTTCACTACATTTACTGGTTATTGTGACGTATCGTAGTATGTCACTCAGCCCATTGTCTCATCGCTGGTTTGAGCCTAATGGATGAACAGGGAATAAATCTTGTCGTCCCGTGAAGCTTTCAACACGGAGATTGTTATGGACTGACTAGACATCGTCTCAGTGGTGGATCATCTTCTAATTCACTCTCAACCATGGATGCTAAGCTTTTCTTTCACAGTAGATTGTGTCTGCTCATGGGTTCAACAGATTTTGCGTCAGCCTTTTCGGTTATCAATTTGCTCTGTTAGGAATCCACTCACTTCATTTTCATATCAGATCTCACAAACCTTAAGACGAAGTTTGCAATTCCAGTCGATTTCGTAATCAACTGATATCCACAATTACGCTGGGTCACTCAATTTTGAGTTCCTCCTTTTAATTTGAACCACGTTCTGTCAATTACAACACCGAGCTTGAAAAATTGAAAAAATCACCTCATATTGAGATGAAGGGCTCCTGTATACCGACCTGGATTAGTGGTCAATGTTGTGTTCATTCAGGAATGTGATAATTTTTGATCTCTACAGGAATTTGTCAAGGGGCAAAGATTCAGGTTTGAAGTCTTCAACTACAGCGGCTGGTTTTATGTTATGTATCACCTCTATCACCAGATTCTGATAACATTGATTTTTTTGCAGTTGGAGTGCCTGAGCTGCAAATTACGGATTCATCAGTGCGAAGTGGTATCCTGCTCCCACAAGGATTGTCTTCTTTCATACCATCTGTCGTGCGCCAAAGATCTCAAAGACGGGATCTGGCGCAAGAAGGGAAACTTTACGTGCCCACAGCATGTAAGTCTTATTTCACATGTGTATAACATTGGGATTTTGCCAATCATCGTCAGCACTCTTTCCTGGAAAAATATGTGGAGCTAAAGTATGTATCAGAAATTTCACCTGACAACAAACATGTCAACAGAGCGTCTATGAAGTTGTAACAAGTATCGCTTGTCTCCAGGTGTGTTATGCATGTGGAGGGCATCGTAGCGGAAGGTTATGGAGGTGTGAAATGTGTCCAACAGCTGTTCATGAAATTTGTTGTCCGTGGCCGGCGGATATGACTTTTTTCCAAGACAAACCAGGCTGGGCTATTTGCTGGCGACATTCTAGTGACAGGAGGTTACCATTCAAGCTCTCATCTCAAGTCCCTTCACATTTGGTAATTTTACTGTTTCTCGTTGTTTAAATATACGGCCGTATAGTGTAACGCTTAATAGGGAAAAAGAGATGAGTTCTCTCTTTCCCCATGCCCTTTTACTGTGTCTCTTAGAACCTCTCCCCTTCCTTTGTCTTATAGCGGAGAGAGACAACCCTGATTGTCTTAACAATCAGAGTTGTGAGGCCACAAAAAGGGTGAATTTTATGATGCTATTGTAAGTTTCGTTGACTGTCACATGGGCTTGTTTGCGGATACAGATCTACTCTCGATATGCAGTACAAACAAATCACAAGAAATATCAAGGTCAGATTCCTTCTTCATCAAACAGCTGGTCATTAGATTAAACAGTTGTACTTACAAGCTAAGATTGTAATACTTCCAGATTCCGTTGTTTGTCTAGAGGTTATATATTCTGAGATTTCTTATCATTGAATGCCAAACTTTGTCTCTGAAGCATTTTGGCTGCTCAATGACTAAATCTGGTTTTGTGCATTCTTTTTATTTGTCTCTCTTGCCGTCAGTGTGTTTTTCTGTTCGATGTGGGACGTGTTTCGAATCAGCTGATTAGACTCCTCTTTTGGGCTATGTTGCAGGATGTTTTCAGACAGTTGCCCTTGCCTGAAAATTTGGAGGATTTCGAACTTAGTTATGAAATTCAAAACGACGCGACTAACGTTGATGAACCACCTCCTTACACCCACATCAGAAGGAGTATCCTTTTAGCCCCATTATATGATGATATTGGACTGCATGTCAGATGCTTTCATTATCGAACATGAGTTGACTGGACCCTTGAATTCATCTGCTGAATAAAGGTGATGGATCAGAAGATGATGTACTTGATAATTAGGACCATATTGCTCTAACTTGAATAATGCATGAATTTCACCTATCTTGTGATATATCCCTTGACTTTCTCGAAGATGAATTTCTGATCAAGAAGAAACGAGATGATAGTGATGATGGAGTAGGCTGCAAATGTGGAGAAGAGAACATGGAATGCGGAGAAGACTGCGAGTGCAGGTATATACCATGGCCCTCTTCGCTTTCGGTTTTCTCCTTTATTCAATATATACACGCAGTGTAGTTGTGAAGGGAATAGAGTAGTATTTACCAGAGGTATTCAGCAGGTTATTCTTGTAGATTACCGCCCTTGCAAACAGAAACTGTCCTTTCTATGTCCACTTTTTGTATATGCAATTTACTCTGTTCTCAATTACAAATCTTAACAGAAATGGACTCTTTCTATCATTATATTTATATATTTTGTGTTTATCTTCGTTTTTCTCATTTGAAAACAGTTGATTAACAAAAGTGGCGTGGTTATCCCTGCCGTGAGTTGCTGGCGTATGAGATATGAAACATTGTGCTAGCGCCTTTCATTAATTGTTTTATATGGATTGCAGGGTACAGTCAATGAGCTGCTCCAAAGATTGTGTATGTAAGAAAGTGTGCACCAATAGACCCTACCGGAAGGAGAAGCGTCTGAAAATTGTCAAGGTACAACCCTTACATCAACATTCTTAATCTTAAGTTTTCTTCAGAGCAGTAAGCCGTAGGAATTGGGGTTGTTTTGGTCTTGAAGAACACAGTGTCCCTCTTCTTTTTGCTAGCTGAAGATGGTAGAAGCTGTACGAATTTTACTTCTGAACACTTCGATTGCACATGCTTTCAGACACTGCAATGTGGATGGGGTGCCGAGTCTGCGGAGCTAATTCGAAAAGGGGAGTTCATCATTGAGTATATAGGCGAAGGTTCTGATCTACCTCAAATTTGCCCACATTTTCTGTTTAGTTTCTTCTTCGCGCTTCTTCCTGTACTTTAGGATTTTCTGTTATCATAGATACTCACTTCGGGAACACCAGCCTGTCTCGCCTAATCAAACGTTCAGAATTTAATAGTCCAGTGAGTTCAAGCCACTGGATTAAAGGAAATAGATTCCTTGCTGGACTTTGGTGGATCCACACTTTGCGCAGTAGAATTGATTTATCACTTTCGAGAAAGTCCATCAACAGACCTTAGATCAGTGCCTTAATCTTGGAGAAATAAGCCTGTACGATCACGTGTGTAGATCAAGGATTATGGTCTAGATGAAGAATTTGAGTCGTATATTCGGCTGGACACGCAAATCTACAGACAAACAGGCAGCATTTGAATCCCTCCTGGGCCTGTCAAAGGGGCATCACTTGATCTGAACAATTTGTAGACAGGTAAGTTCCTACTCAGCTCAAACGAGAGGGGTTGGACACATCAGCGTTGATCTTTTGTCGAATCGCAATGATTCTTTATCAAAGCTCCTTAAGTTGAAGTACTAAGTGAAGACGATATGACACCAAATGACATGACCAGTAGTAGCAGCTAACTGTCGTACTAGTAAAAGGTTTCGTCATTTCACTTGTAAAAGAAAAACAGAAAACACTCCTCCCTAGAGGAGAAGATTTCACACAAGCCTGGGTATGTCTTTTTCGTAAACAAGTGTCGCAAGGAGAAGATGTCTCACAGAGGTTCCCAATTGGAGGAAGAAAGGCAATAGTTGTTTTGAAATGTATTGCAGTACTGAACATAGCTATCTATAATGGACCTAGGTGGGATGTGTGTAGCTTAACATAGAAACCTAAATCAGTTGACTCAGCCCGTATTACTGCCCTATTTAACAGAGGTAGAGTTCTAAGTTGTACACCCACCGCAACGTTCATCACTCTTGTAAATCTGCTGTTGTTAATAATTCTCTTTATCAGTTCGGGTGGATGGCCTGCGTGGAAATTAGAAGTAGGGTTTGGATTTGTGGTTTGTAGCACATACCATTTTTTAATAAAATCATTGAGTCTCCTGTTCTCATCTCTAGCAATATACGTATTCCTTCATCCTTGACTTTCCTTTCTGTTTGGAGTTGGAGTGTTGGTAGAACGAGTACTCAGTACAAGTCTCAGAAATGGCAGATTTTACCACTGTTTAGAGCTCTCTCATGACTTTACTATGCCCCTTTTACTATGTCGTCACTTACAATTGTGCAAAATGGTGGGATATTTTGCAGTGATCAATGACGCAATGTGTGAAAACCGTCTATGGGCGATGAAAGGGAAAGGAATCAGTAAATTTTACATGTGTGAAATCATGAAGGACTTCATTATTGATGCCACCTTTAAAGGCAACTCTTCTCGTTTTCTCAACCATAGCTGTCAGCCGAACTGCAAACTCGAAAAATGGTTAGTCTCGTCTATCCAGTATATGTAGAAACGTGGAAGTTTGTACTTCATTCCGTCATGGCTGCGCATGGTAGTCTGTTCGCCCTACTTAACTGCGACATCTTTCTCAGAAGGCAGGAAACCAGTCAAATCAGGCTCAGATGACGTGCATTCTTTTTCAGGAGAGTTGATGGAGAGACGCGAGCTGGTGTTTTTGCCTTGAGAGACATAAAGTTGGGAGAACCTCTGACATACGACTACAAGTGAGCGCCCTATTCCCAGCAAGTTTGATTCTTCTTCATCATTTTGTTTGTGGGCATTCCTTTTTTTGTATTAGTTGATTAGCATCGAAATAAATTAGCATCGAAATAAACTCATGAGTATGGATGTCCGTGGACCATCAGGTATGTCGAATTTGGAGCAAATGTGAAGTGTTGTTGTGGGGCACCCAAATGTCGAGGAGCGATCGGTGAAAAACCATCCTCTAAAAATTGCTGGTCAGGTAACCTCAAGTGGGGTAAGAGAGGAGTAAGAGGAGCTATCTAATTGATGATACTAAAGACGATCTCGTCATCATTGTCAGCCGTAATGAGCATCTCTTGCAACTGACGCAGACAATGGTCCACATAGACATAAGGGTTTAGATAGTTCTGAACCCTCGGGAGTTAAGGTTGTGATTTTGTCATCGCAACTGCTGTAGTATAATTGGGAGTAACCCTTCGGTTTTAGGATAGCGGATACAACACACACAGCAACACAGGGAGTAACCCTTTGCTTCATTACACAAATGTGTCAAATCATCAATGCCTTCGAGCAAATCTCATCTGTGTGTTCCCGAAATTCGGCTGTAGATTTCTCTTTCATGCATGGCATTGTCAGGTCGGTTCAGGAGTTTGATTTTTTGTTCGAACCCCCTCAGAGTAGTCAACCTCGAGGCTCGCAAAGATTCTGATGTATCAAGTGAGATATACTGAGCTTTCACGTTGGTATCTATTTCTCGCCAGTCGCTTAGTCTTGCATTGCTGTTTTCAGTCCTCTTTGCACAGGTACTCCTTGCGGAATGAACTCCATCTGTGTTGCTGTAAAGGTTGCGAAGACATTCCCACCGGAGTCACCTTACCATTCTAGTTTCGTCCACGTGCTGCTCAGGTTGCCCAGCTTTGTGCCTACATGACAGGGCAAGAGGAGTCAGTAAATGTGAAGACCCACCGTAAATTCAAAGGCTGAACATAATTGCTGCGCACCTTGTCTGCTAATTCTTAATTCGATCATATCGATTGAATCTTCTGCAGTATGAATCCACCTGCTTATCTCCATCGTGATTTCCTAGTCATATCCTTTGGACACTTAGAACTGAATTTGAGAGGATGCCCAAATGATGTCCTACAGAGTTGAGGCCAACACCTTTTCTGCAAAACCCATCCTACGCGCTTTACAACCATCAATGTAACATACAACTCTCCTCTCCACCGTCCTCTTATCATTTACTTGAACCAAACCTATATGACATGAACTTCGACTGTTCACGACTAACGCAGAGGAACCTTTTGTACTTGTACCACCACCACGTCCTTTTCCCTTCTTGGGTTTCTGTGACCCCTATCTTGTCCATGGACCCCCGCAAGAGAAGCTGTAATGATGTAACGAGCGAGAGATCTATCTGATGCAACAACATTAAAGCAATCAAGTCCCTGCTCTCTGTAGCCACTTGATGTACACTTCAAACGATTAGGGAAATGTTGCCCGGCAGGCCTCGTCAATAAGGGCTCCTCAAAAATGAGGGAACGCGACCTCTGCCCGCCCGGGCTTTCTGCCCGCAGCCCGACCCCCCCTCCTCACCCGGGCCCACATCCCGACCCCCTCCCCACGCTACCAGACACCCTCCCCCGCAGCCCGACCTCCCGGTTACTAGTTATTAGTTGTGGAGACCCTCCCGCTTTAGCTCGCCCATCGGGCTCTTTCTCTCGCGGCCTCCTCGATTGTTATTGCCAGCGTTTTTGATTAATCAGAAGTTTGATTTTTCCGATTTACTGCTTGAACACAGCGCCTGCCTGCGTCTAATTTTTCCAACCAAATCTCCGAAATGGAAGACATGACATGCCTCGCAATACATTTGTCGTTCGCAGTTCTCTTCAAACGTGGGACAGAATCAGAAGGGGCTAAACTATTTAATAAAATTTAATGTAATTTAGCGTGAAGGACTCGGTGACTGGCATTGGCAGAACAGTGGACGCAGACATTTTGCGAAGGGACGGGAAAGGGAAAGTGGATTGATCGGGAGGCGGCCATCCCTAGTCGGGCTGGGGGGAAGTGGGGATGGGGTCGGAGGCGGGGAGGTCGGGCTGCGGGCAGAGGTCGCGTTCCCTCATTTTTGAGGAGCCCTTAGTGACGAGGGCAGGCAGGTCTTCACCTCGTCTCTTAAGGATTTTTGCACATGGTACAGTCAATGCGAGGTTGATTTGGCCAGAGGGAAGCAGGCAAGTATATTATTTCCTACGTAGTTTCTATCCTGAGAAGAACAAATCTCATTCGTACATACCGACAGCACAACACAGTGGAGGAAGTAATCGCGATGTGGCGTCGTTGCTACTGGGTAATTCCTTTCCGTGATGCACCTGCACACAAGTATAGCCATTGGTCCATCAAGATACTCCGCTAGACTAGCTTATGTCATCCTCCTTCACTAATGTGGAGAAGTCTGCCACCCAAGCTCCACTGGCTGCCCAAACAAGGTCCCAAACCTCATGTAAACTTTCAACTCCGGGCACACTTCCTTCATAGTACACTGTTTTCTGAGACTCAGCTGTTTTCCACAGAACCCGCTCAGCGGGTTACATGCCTACCAGCTTACACAAATGACTTGTTGTCGATTTCTCTTTCATAAAGAGTTCTGCAGACCCTTTGTCATTCAATACAACAGAATGCTCGCAACTCGTGAATGTATGCTGTTTTGAGAGTGGATAAACACTACATGGAGAAGCAGAGGGTTGATTTCGTCCTGAGCAGTGTGAACTTCCCTCCTGCTTCTCAAAATAGCCCTTCTCGAACTCGCCAAAACAGTGAACTCTGAACTCACAAAGGAGAAAAGTTGAAAGTCACCGTCGGATTTATGACAGCTGCATATAGCCAAGTGTCTAATGCCTTCTCCAAGTACTGCAGTTTCGACCTCACTACCTCATACGAACGGATCATGTTCTCCGTTGTCTCCCTAGAACAGACTGGGACTTGAAGTACTCCTTTCAACGTTAACGGTTTTCTGTGAATTGCAACTTGCAAACCATTTGTAAATTCGAATCTTCGCTGCATATCGCTGATGTTAAGGCTGAACAAAGGTGGTGCTGTATTGTTGGACGAAACACACCCCATCCGTTCCTGAGGAACCTCTGGAGACATATAGTACTGCAACTGGGAACTTGCTTTGTATTGTATACTGATCCTGCTTGTGGTTTCAACAGCCTGTAACGTGCAAGCTTCTCAAGCAACCCTTGATTCATTCATCCATCGATTTTAAAGGAGATTTTTTCCTACCCAGTGCCTGATATTGCATCACAAGGTCCGTGCAAGCTTGCAAACGACCACCGCTGGAGAATTCATGGAGTCTTGCCAACTTGAGCAGCATCCTTATCAAGATGCCCCACAGTCAGTCGGTTTCAACAAGCATGGGTCCGACCGTATCTGAGGCTTTTGAGAGGGGATGTGATTCTACTTTCGTTATGTCCAAGGTCCATGGTCCCAGAGGAAGTGAAGAGGTGAAAACGACGACTTTCCAGAGCATATGTAGCAAGGTATCGTCTTGACCGAGAAGATAGGCATCTCCTGCTAAGGCCGACGAGTAGCTTCAGAATTTCATTAGCTTTACCATAGATGAATTGAACTCCACCGCTTTTGTTGACAAATCTCCTGCCCTGTTCTAAAACAACTGTTGTGGTACATCTTTCATCTTCAACCTAACAGTTATGCTCAATTGGTTCCCTGATCCACTTGAGCTGAATTTGGGACATTGTTGCTGAGCTAAAGGGTGCCAGAACAATGTCAACAGTAGAGAATTTCATAGTTCTGTTCCCTATTGTGTTTGCGAAGAAGATAACAAGAATGTGGAAAGGGTCGGCAAAGCGAATGCTACACTGGCATAAGCCTGCCATGTTTCAGGAGGGAGAGAACGTACGCCTTCCGCAATTATGAAGGGCCATGACAAGAGACACAGTCAGGTCTATGCACAGCACAAGTGAGAAAAATGTGGATCCAGACTACAACATCATCCTTCAGCAGCCCTTGTTCTGGTACTGCAAGGACCGAGGAGATACTGAACACAGTGGCCCAAGTACAGCGTCTTCAATAACAGTGAATAGATGATGCAGAAGGTAATCTGAAATCCACTGTAGTATGTGCTACAATGAAGTCGGCCTCCTCTTCAGGATGCTGAGTGCCATCACCTCCTACTATTTACAGGTCCTGGAAACCGCACAGCATACAAAAATGCATGCCACCTGCTTGAATCAACGTACGACTCCGTGATCTCAACTGTTTCTGCCCAAGTAAGTCACTGGATGCGAAGGAGTTTGAATCATTTCTACCGGTTCGAACTCCTGAGCCAGACGTCGTACGCTCGGGGAGGAAACGATCTGCATGAACACGATCGCCAACTCCTCCAGAATGCACCCTATCTAAACTCTGGAAAAAGATCGAGAATCGGATTGCCTGATCATGCACGACCATACTTTGTCCTTCCAGTCAAATTCAAGGCCCGATGGAGCTGACATGAATGAATGCAAGAATCAACGCCCTCTGAGAGGATATCACTCAACAACAGTTGCATGTGCAGTAGATGAACGCTCCATCATCAGTCCCATGAACCAAGAGAGCGCGCCTTACAAGCAACCTCCACAGTCCAAACCCAATCAATGTGGAATGCACATCCGAAAGGCGTGAGGTACGGCCTGTGTCTCTTCTTCTAGCCTGCGGTTACAGCGGCAGAAAATGCGCCGATTACAGTAGAAGAGCTTATCTCACATACTGCATGATCAACACCCAACGACTACATCGACGGTCCGAGCTGCCCTCGACCCGAGTACGACCCGATTCTGCCTGTCCTTCTCTGCGACCAGCACGCGCACGAATTCATCAAGTTCAATGCCAAGTGTCACGGGAGCAAATTTCCGAGGCACCTCTTGTGGCTGCTTGATGCATGGAAGAATGATGAGGAGCTTCAGTTCTGACAACTGATGAAAGAGAGCAGTCAGAGCGATGTGATACAGAACTGATTCAATTCATTCTCTAGGCAAGTACACAAGATATCTAAAACTGTCTGCAGTCTCTGGCTCTGGGACTCGTAGAGTAGAGTAGTTGCGTGAAGTAGGAGCAGGGGAAGCGAGATTCTTCAGGTCTGAACGGTAGCGTCGACCTCGCTAACACTGCCATACCTTTGAGCCTGCTGACCTGACGACCTGGGAAGTGCAGCCTAGGACGTAGACTATGAATAAGAACAACTTGATCAACATGGAATCAACATGCCTTACACTGGACTCCACTGATCTCTCGTAATTCGCTCTCGAACTGCACCGAGTTCTATTTGATGACACAGTGCAAGCCGTCTTGTAAATTCTCAATCACTCATTGTGTTTCACCGACAAGTGCGGTTTTCTAATATGTACTCCTCCTGTTGACCTGCAAGTCACTCTTGGCCTGCACACATTACAGGATGTACATTTACACTCGTGCATCTGTCTTCTATTATCAACTTCCTATCTCTTGTTTCAATACTTGTTTGTATTGATATAATATATGGGAGGTGATAGTTATCACCTCCCATTAACCAAAAGTGAGTGATAGTTATCATTCACTTTTGGTTAAATCAGACTTACTAAAATCTAGCAAATGCTAGTTAATTATGGCAAATTTTTCTCCTTAATTTTGGCACTAACATTAATTTAGCTATTTTTTTATGAGCGGTTGGCTAGAACAGTTTTTAACATTTCAAATTGCTTCGCATGCATAATGCTTGCCAAATAAATATTTTTCAGCCTTGTGTCCGAGTCATCTTTCTCCCATTTGATAATGGAAAAATCGCTTTCAACTGATGTAATATTTAGAAAAGCAGTAGCCAGCCCATCGCACAATTGTCGCAAATGCAGTATACGTCCATTTAAACAATCCCATGCCTCATTGAAGAAAGTATTCTCGATGTGATTGTCAATGGTGTCTTTCACATTCAGCTCACGCCCGCA